TCCAGACTAATCAGTGCCTTCCCGGTCCCTGTGATCTGCAGTGGCTTCAGCAAGCCTGAGAAAACAGCATGGGGCCTCACAGGCTGATGGCAGCAGGGTCCCCTGCCCCCCATGTCAGCCTTTCCTGTAACTTCCAGTAAAGTGCTGAATGCTTTATGAACACCCAGAGTTCTGGTCAGTGTTCTCCTTATGACAAAGACGATCCTTGGGCCTCTTCCTTTCAGAACTCTAGCTTGCCATTAAAAAAAAAAAACCAACCACCCCAAACCCTCAAAACACCAAACAATTCCATAATTGTTCATTAAAAAAAAAATCTCCACTAGATGTTTCTTTGGCCACTGTCTGCGATCTTGCCGTTTCTGTCAGTGGCTCACTGGATGCCTCACAGTGACCCACACACAGCACAGCCCAGCACAGCCCAGCCCAGCCCAGCACAGCACAGCACAGCCCAGCACAGCCCAGCACAGCCCAGCCCAGCACAGCACAGTCCAGCACAGTCCAGCACAGCCCATCCCAGCACAGCGCATCCCAGCACAGCACAGAACAGCGGGCCCCACAGCGTGTCCTAAGGGCGTCTGACCATTGCTGAGGCTCTCCCATAGCTCCATCCCATAAAAGGGGTTCCCCATTCTGCACATTCTGTGGAGTCTCCACAGGATGACTCCAGTCCTTCAGGCCAGAAGTGTGGGCCTTCCCAACAGCATGACGGACTGAGAGGAACTTGTCCAGGTTTTCCTGCTATGATGTGACTGCTGAATGGAAAATGAGTGTACCATTCTGGTGAAGAATTAGAAACAGGTTAAGGTGGCACCTTGATGGCACAGTGTAAGGTTGATGGTTCTAAATCCCTCAGTGGCCTCGTAGGAGAAAAGACTGGATGACGTGCTCTCCTGGGGATTAGGTCCAAGAGGCCATTTATCCTGTCACACAGGGGCCCAGGAATTGGCATCTACTAGATGGTACAGTTACACACAAAGTGAGGTCTTCAAATGCCATTTGTAGAGTCTCGGGAAGGACTCTGGGATGGTCCAGGGAGGAGTGGGGATGCAGAATGTCCACCTGTTTTTTACTAAAGTTCTTCCTTATGTATTACTGGGTTTCTTCGTTAAGACAAGTTTTAATCTGTTTGAAGAAAAGTTCCCATGGTTTATAAACCCATGCTACCAACACTGGAAGCAGGAGTGGCATCCACTTCCTACACATGGCTCTGGAAGCTAAGAACTTTGTTCAGTGTCGATAGTTGCTGAGGGGCTGCAGGCCTTTTGTTCATAGGGTCACTATGAGTCGTGCTCATTCGATGGCAATCAACAACATTAAATGTAGTTAAGTCTGAAAATGCTGGGAGACATATCTACCATTAGAATGAGGGACAGAAAAGTGAAAAGAGGCTTTTCTGAAAGCGGGAAGCTTGCGAAACCTGGAAAATCAAGGTAGTCCTAGAGAGTTCCAGCTCTCACAGGTTCACTGTGAGATCAGCGAGAATGACGATGTCCCCAAACTGCTTAACCTCCAAAGATGAAAATACAATTTGATAGAAAACTTCAAATTCATTAATTGACTAGACGAACTTGAGACCCATCTTATGAAGGTTAAAGAAGGGATATGTGTAACAGACGACAAATACCAAGCTCTCTTCGCAGTGACTACAGTTCTGCATTTTCTAAACAGTGTCCACAGAAAGATTCTGGAATTCTCTTTAGAAGGAGTTGGGGGTGGGGATTGTAAATCAAACCTGGGGTGAGCAGGTCATGCTTCCCTGTGTCTGTTTAGGAAACAAAGTGTTTCTCAGAAGAGCCACATTCCATGAGAATTATGTTTGTTCTAAGCTTAAACAAGAGATCTTTTCCTCAGGAAAGGCTGATTCATTATCAAAGCATCTTAGGAAATGAAAACTCGGCCACTTTACGGACAACTGGATGTCACAATATCTTCATTCCATGACAATGCTTTCAACACTAATCCTGATGTCTGACACTGTGCTTTTAAATGCAGATATTCCTACTCCTCACTTACCAGCTGGTTCATTATCCAGCATCTCACATTCATGGCCGGAGTAAACACATCTTCTGACTATTCTGTGCGTTAATGATGTGCATCAGGCATAAAGAACCCTGAGGTGCAAGGTGAGAGTAACGTGATGATGGTTTAGATCAAGGCTGGGCCATGATGCTCTGGGGTTTGGTCATTATGTGATGATGCAATTTAGCAGTTGAGTAATGACATAACCACCCTCCATTTCCACATAAGGCCAACATTTTGCAGAATGATCTACCTTTTGGAACCTAACCATGCCAATAGGTGTTGATCTATGTGCAAATATTTCACAGGTTCACTGCCTATCAGATGTCAAATCTAGTTATCTTCTGTATGTTAATGAGTTTTTCTTGTTTATATATGTCTGTATGTATACACTTATTTACTTACAAAATGTGAATCTATTTTATTAAACACATCAGCATTTAAATGAATTGACACGGCACAGGACAGCATGGAATTATGCATCCCTACTCTGGGGGGGTGGTGTGCAAAGTGTACAAGATGTCAGACTACAAACCAAAAAGGTAGGGGTTCAAATTCACCAGCTGCTCTGCAGGAAAATGGGCTGTTTTCTTGCATTAAAGATCTGCTGTTGTTGTCTGAGGCTGTTGAGTTGACCTTGACTCACGGAGAACCTACTAACTATAGAACAAAACGTCGCCCTACATTGCCTCATGCTCACAGCCTCCCCCAGGCTCAAGTTCATTACTGTACTTACTGTGTCAGTAATGGTCTTCCTAGGGTCTTCCTCTCTTTTTGGGGACTTTCTGCCTTTCCAAGCATGCTGTCCCTTTCCAAGCACTGGCCCCTCTTGACAACATGCCCAAAGTACATGAGGCAAAGGTTCTCCCTCCTTGCTTCGAAGGAGCATCCTGGTTGAACTCTCACCAAGACGAAAAAATTCGTTTGTTCTTTTGGCAGTCCATGGAACATTCAATCTTCTTCTCCAACATCACAATCCTTCTTCAGTCTTAACTTATTCATCCTCCAACTTTCATATGCTCACGAAGCAAATACCGTGGCTTGGAGGAGGTGTATCTTAGTCTTTAAACTGACAAGCCTATTTCTTTAGCAATTTAAAGAGGTTTCTGATTGCAGATTTTCCCACCGCAACACACCTTTTGATTTCTTGACTGCTGGAAATATGGATAGCAACTATGGCCCCAAGTAAAATGAAATTGTTGACAACTCCCATCTTTTCTCAGTCTATGATTCAGTTTCAAAAAACTGACAGAAGAACAAGGTGAACCAGACTCGACCGGATGGCAGGGGGGTTGTTTTTTGCTGTTTCCTCTGAGACCAGAGAATCCTGCTTCTACTCCCAGCTCAGCTGCATACGTGCTCAGTCTATGCTTTCTGAAGGATCCCTTCACTTCTTGCAACTTGTTTTCCTTACCTGTGAAGTGGGAGAAACTGCTGTATCTCCTTCACAGGGCTCTGAAGATGATAGGAGTTGATACGTGTGTGAACCTTTTGAATAGCATCAGGTACACACATCAAGTACTCAAAAATGCTAGCTATACAGCAGAGATGTGAGGCAGGTGCAGGACTAGGGAGGGTTTCATTCTGTTTACACGACACAGGGCACACACATGCTGATGGATGGCACCTAACCATGTTAGTACCTCTCCCTACGGTCAGGTGAATGGAAAAGTCTAGTAGGTAGAGTTGCTAAGGAGACCACTAACACATTACCACTCTTTATCTGTTGAAATAGAATAAAAGCTATTCATTTCAAAGACTATGACCATGGAGAAAGGATGAAAGTCACACAAGTGTTGAGGACTTTCGTTCACAGAGTTGCTATAAGTCGCCTATGACTTGATGGCACTTAACAACAATACCACCAACATAGAGAGATAAGATAGTTGACCTAGCAGAGAGAAAGTGACGCTACCAAGCCAGAGGTGGGTGATTTCTAATCCGCGGCCCTCAGGTCTGTTTTTCAATGTTTTTGTTCAAACATTCTTATAGGTTGTATAGCCCTGGTGTGTCCACTTGCTGTACAGAGGTAACTCGTGGTTGCTGATGCTGAACACTGTGACACCAACGTGTCAAATGCGTTAACGGTTACCCGTGGAGGACAGTGTTTGGTGGAGCTCCCCGATTAAAACAAGCTTGGAAGTGGGAGTGGCATCCACTTCCGTAATAGCTTGCCTCCGGAAACCCTATGAACCTGGAGAAAGGATGAAAGTCACACAAGAGTTGAGGACTTTGTTCACAGGGTCGCTATGAGTTGTCTACAACTCGATGACACTTAACAACAAACAACATTTTAAGGACTGTTCTTGCCTGAGTCCACCGACTTTTGGTGCTGTCAGAACACTGGAGAGCATCTTGTCTGATGCCTTTCTCTTATAGCTAAGGACACAGGGACCAGTTTGATGGAGGAACATGGTCACCGAGTGAGGGAGAGAGAGGACAGCCGGCTGCAGTAACTGCACCAGCTGCCAGGATGGGAGTCAACTGTCTGCACCGACAGTTTGCTGCTGGAGCACTCCACGCCACTGTGAAGACAAAGGGAAGCATTTCCACACTTGCATTAGCCAACAGATGACGCGTATTTGGGTAAGGTAAACAGGCTTTTCTGTGCTGAGAGAAAATGCTTATAATGAGTCTACCTGTTTCCATTTGAAATGTCCCTTGCAAGACACTGGTTACAACATCCTGGGAGACAGCCCGAAGGATCAGAAGTGATGCACCCAAGGCCCCACCCTGTTCCAACACACGGTGAGGACACAGGGAAGAGAATCAAAGTTTTATTTACTATTAGAGATATTTAAAAATAAACATTATAATACGCTTGGATTTTTGGTGTGGAACGTAGAAAAATGCGTGCAGCTGTCCTTGGAACCCTCCAGCCACGGCCCGGAGGGGGCGTGCATCACAGCTGGTGCAGGGGGAGGTGGACAAATGGCAGGGACAGGAGGCCGGTAGTGGCCGCTCGGGAGGGTGGTCGGTCCCTACTCGGTGTACCGCGTTCTCTTCTTCTTGTGGTTCTCGATGGCCCTTCGGAGCGCCTCGTCCTGGACCAGGTCAGTCATTTTCACGTCTGCGTGGCTGCAGCCGATTGTGGGACAACTGGGGGTGGGGGTGGGGGAAGAGAAAGACAATCGTGTCGGTGTGTTTAAGTTCAGTGCTTCTCATGTCACTGATGTCAGATCTGAGCGTTCACATAGGGGTGTGTTAGCAAAGAGTAGCCCAAGGAACACAGTGGCCCAGGGCTTGGTTCTTACTGAAAGCTCAGCAGTTCAAACCCCCAGCTGCTCCAAGGGAGAAAGGTGTGGCCTCTGTAAGGAGTGACCGTCCTGACAACCGACGGGGCCACTATGGGACAGTTCTGCTCTGGCTTGGAGGTCCCTCTGAGTCAGAATTGATTCTGAGAGGCAGAAGTGACAGATGGCAGGGGGCCATTGTGTATGTCCCATTGCTGGCTGCTTCCCGAGGTCAGGGCTCTGCACCCACCCTGTGCCTGTATGTGGCCGAGCTACTCCGTCACATGAGGTCACTGTGAGCTGAACAATGAACCCATCAGCAGCTGGCCTGTTAAAGACGAGAGGTGATGCTGAGGCTCATTCACTGATGGCGCTGCCCTGACTCGGGCACTGCCCGGGGCTGGGAACCCAGTGGTGCCGCTCAGGCAGCTTCCTTCCATTGAGGGACCAACAATCAGATCCATGCACTGCGGTGGGGGGTGTTCTGAAGAGACCAAGTATGGTCCACAGAGAATCAGGCTGAGGCTTTCCTCACTGGGCGGGGGCAGGAAAACCATGCCTGACGAGCTCTGGTTTTGAACCAAGCCCTGAGGGGAGTGCGGGGGTGAGTGAGGTGGGTGGCTCAGGGTGAGAGTCCTGAGGGGCGTAAATGCTCAGAACGAGAGGCCTGTGGCTTCCCTGAGGGGCCTCAGAGGAAAGGCCGGGAGACTGACACTGAACAATCACTGAAAAGCCTATGGAGCGCAGTGCAACCCTGTTACTCGTGGGGTCACCTCGAGCTGCAACTGGCTTGATGTGGAAGCACGAGACGGGCAGGAGCGAGTGTCCAGGCTGGCAGAGGGGACGTGGGGGTGAAGGCAGAGGAGTGGGACCTGGGGTATGGGGAGGTTCTGAGAGAGGAAGGAGGTGGTTGACAAGTGGAAACACGACTCTAGATGACACCTGAGTGGAGGCAGCAGGTGAGCAGGACCTGTAGGAAGGCAGGAGACAACGGGAGCTGGGAAGAGGTGGGAGCTGGGAGTCTATGGAGAACACACCTGAAAGCAGAACTCAAACGACCTGCTGCTGTTTTGCAAGTGTGGCGAGGCCTTGTTCACATGGTTTGGCCCGAACAAATGGCAACGAGGGGACCCTGACTGCAAGGAGCACCCAGCTTGGCCCCTACAAGCTCTGCAGGAGCCGACAGATGGGACAGGGACACATGGATGTGTGCAATGAACTGCTTGACCCCCAGTGGAAAGACTGCAGGGACCACTGGGGGTGCGGAGGCCAAGCTGTGGCTGAAAAAAACCAGCACGCGAGTCATTCTGACAGAGGGGGATTTCGGCAGCAACATGGCTCTTGATGTGGTCTCCTCAGAAGAGACGGGGTGGGATAGAGTCACCTGACTTCTCAATGTGAACCAGATGCTGGCGGGGGCGGGTGGTGTCCCAAGTTTGAAGTCAAGTGGAGCTGAGCCTGAACTGCACCTCCACCATCAACTTCTAGTTTATGAGACCACAGCCATTCCCTTTCTGATCCGTTACCTTTCTGAGATCTGGAATGGGGGAGGGAAAATCCCTGTGTCCCAGGGTTACAGGAGACACAGATGCTCCCACCCTCTTCCGACCTCCTGCGACGGTCATTTGTTAGCTGAGGTAGAGCTGGGTCCTGACTTAGTGTGACCTCATCACAATAGAAGAGTGGTGGCCTGGACCCTGGTGACGTGGGCAGTTTTCACTAATTTTAAGAGCTGACCCTTGCTGGCTCTAAGCCCAGAAGCTGCGAGCAAGGCCCTGAATGATGTAAAAACCGCTGCTGAACCAAAAAGAACTGGCCGACACAAAACATTTCAGGAAGTACCAAGAGCCAACATTAATGAAGGAAGAATTTTAACCTGCACTGAAGGCACTGGCAAAAAATAAGGCCCCAGGAATCTATGGGATGCCAACTGACATGTTTGCAATAACAGATGCAGCCCGGACGTGCTCACGAGTCTGTACCAGGAAACTTGGAAGACAGTTACCCGGCCAACTGAGTGAAAGTGATGCATATTTATTCCCATTGCCAAGAAAGGTGATCCAACAGAGTGTGGAAATTATCAAGCTGTATCATTAATATTACATGCAAGCAAAATATTGCTAAAGATCATCCAAAAATGCCTAGAACAATACTACACTGACAGAGAACTGCCAGAAGGTCAAGCTAGGCTTAAAAGAAGCTATGGCAGCAGCAATATCACTGCTGACATCAGATGGGTGCTGGCTGAATGCAAAAAAATATAAGAATTTGTATTTGTGCTTCACTGGCTATTCAAAGGCATTTGACTGTGTGGATCCTAACAAATTATGGCTAACACAGAGAAGAATGGAAATCCCAGAGCACGTAATTATATCTAGACCAAGAGGCTGTTGTCCAAACAGAGCAAGGGGACAGCGCATGGTTTAAAATCAGGAAAGGTGTGAATAAGGGCTGTATCCTTTCTACATTCCTATAAAACCTGTACGCTGAGCAAATAATTCAAGAAGCTGGACCATATGAAGAAGAAGGTGGCATCAAGAATGGAGGACGACTCATCAACAACCTGTGTAATGCAGATGACACAACCTTGCTTGCTGAAAGCGAGGAGGACCTGAAGCGCTTGCTGCAAAGAAACACTACAGCTGCAATATGGATTACATCTCAACATCAAGAAAACAAAGATCCTCACCACTGGACCGATGGGCATCATGATGGTAGACAGATAAGAGGACTGAAACAATCAATGATTTCATCTTACTTGGATTCACAATCTCGGTATCTGCAGAAGATGTATTGTACTTGGAAGGTCTGTAGTTAGGGACCTCTCCAAATGACTGGAATGATGTTAGTGGTTAGTGGACTCAGGTGCAACTGATTCAGGCCATGGCCTTTCCCTTCACTTGCTACGCATGGGAGAGCTGGGCAATGAGTAGGGCTGACAGAAAAAGAACTGATGCCTTTGAGCTGTGGTATTGTTGGGGAAGAATACTGAATATCTCATGGACTTCCAAGAGAACAAAACAGGTTCTAGAGAAAGAATAGCCAGGATGCTCTTTGGAGGTAAGGATGGTGACGTTTCATCTCATTTGCTCTGGGCGTGTTGTTAGGAGAGGCTATTCCTTGACGGGGCAGCATCCTTCCAAAGTGGCAGGTCAGTGAAGGAGAGGACTGCTGCAGGGGGTTGGAGCATGTCAGAGGTTGTGAGGAGAGCGCAGGGGTCAGACCTGCTGTTCACCGGGTGTCTATGGTGCTTGACCTAGCAGGGTCCTTCCTCTTTGCCGCTCATCTCGGCCTGGCTGAGATGACACCGGCTCAGCTTCACCGACATTCACACCTGTACTCTCTCTTGGCTCTCATCTCCAGACCAGAGTCTTTACCTTAACCCATTGCTCTTGTGCCAATTCCCACCCACAGCCTCCCTACAGGACTGAGGAGAAGAGCCCGGCCAGGTTTCCAAGGCTGCATTTAAGGAAGCCGAGTCCTGGTCACCCTCTGAAGGAGCAGCTGGTGGTGGGTTTGAACTGCCAGCCTTTCACTTAGCACTTTACTGTACCACCAGGGCTCTTCTATGAGAGGGGCATGAAGCAATGTGATGAAGAGTATGTTCACAGCAGGGGCCTACGCTGCACACCTCCAGGAGGGAAAGGGACAGGACACAAGAGGACGGGTGACGTGGCCGGGTGTGCATCACGGAATGGATTGCCTCTGCACTAGGATAAAACTCACACCTGCAAAGTGTTTCCACGAGTTTAGACATCCCGAGGCCCTCCTCACCTATCTCCTCACACTCTCCTCAGGCAGGGCATTCTGAAGAGGCCTCAGACCCCTTCATGACTTCAGAGAGGTGCTTTTCTACACTTAAACGTGTATGAAGTGGAAACGCGGCTGGAGTTAGGCTGTCGGCGACATGTGCTGGGAGGAGGCACACTTCACACATCAGCCCACTGGCGCCCACGGCTGATGGTGGCCCCTCCATGGAGCAAAATCTGCCCCCACCGAGGGCCAGGCAGCGAATGAGCTGGACTAGGAAGTGGAGACGGGGGTGGGAGCACTTCCTGGTGACGTCAGCTAGCCTCACTTGGTGAGGCAGCATTCTGGGACTGAGGACGCCCACCTGCTCTCTGCAGACAGACACACACACACACACACACTCTCTCTCTCTCTCTCACAGCCACTCTGTGGGCTGGAACCTGGTGTGCTCCAAGACAAGCCAAAAGTTCTGAGCTGACTGAGGAGGAATCAAGTGGACCCGGGCTTTAGCCAACAGCCACTGTCTCCAGGGGAGGCAGCCAGCCTGGTGACATCAACACACTCAGGACTGCAGGTGACGTGGTGCAAACCTGCTGGCTGTGACACTCCAGACAAGTGGCTGAGTCTGTTTTTCCCTCTGACAAGGCAGGCAGCACAGAAGGCTGTGGTGAGAAATAGGTGGGATGGTGTGTGTCAAGGGCTGAGTAACTGAGTTCAGGAGCTACAACATGCCCATTCCTGCTCTCGCCCGCTGCTTCTCCCCACAACACTGGTGACATGGGGATGTTGACCACTGGAGCCTTTTGCCCCAGGTCCCTGGGGTTTGGGGATGGCTTCTTGGAGGAGGTGCTGATGCAGGGGCTGGGTGAGAACCCTCTTTCTCACTCTAAATCAGATAAACACACAACACACACAAATTTTTAAATAAAAAAAGAGGACAAGGACCCTAATGACAGGCAATGAATCCGGGCCTGCCGCCTCTGGAGGAACAACATTCTAGAAAGGCTTTAGTGTGTTAATCCCCACGACATCCCGGTGAGCAAGCTGGGCGTGGCAACAGCCAACCTTAAGCTCTTGTGTCATCTCCGGAGCCAGACTTGCAGGCCTTCAAGGAGA